CGTTGTTACAGTTTGTATCTCATTTTGAGTTCCTGTGTCTCTGGGTGGATTTCATTCATTCATTCATTCATTCATTCATTCATTCATTCAGGGGAACTGGAGACTGAACCCAGGACTTCACCTTGAGTGCAGTATCTCAGCTCTCTTTATTTTTTATTTTGAGGCAGGGTCTCACCAAGTGGTCCAGGTGAGACTTGAACTTCAGTCCTTCTGCCTCAGACTCCCAAAGTGCTGGGGTTACAGTCATGTGCCCCGGTGCTTGGCTTATTTGTAATGTTTTGAGTGAATAAACTATTAAGGTGATTCCAAAGGTCAGAACTATAGAAAGTGATACATTTGAAGCACTGTGGCTAGTGCTCCCCTGCCTTTCTTTATACTGTGTGTCTTTCATCCTGTTTCCACATATCGCTTCATAGGTAATTAATTCCTTTAAGTTTTGAGTTATTGTAGTTTATTTTTATTTTGTGCAAATGAGAAGATTGATGTTTATTGTATTATTTTCCTTTACTTCTTATGAGAACGGTAGCATGTAACATACGCTCTTTTGTACGTTGCTTTTTCCCTTGGGCAGTATATCTCGGAAATGGTTCTGTATCTACTTAAGAGAAATCTTCCGTATTTATCTGCACTGTATATAAAAATGCAGCGCTTCCATATTCCTTTTTAAAATCTGCGCATTGCTTAGTCCACGTTTCTGCAAGGTAAGGCATTTCTTCATTTCTAATGTTTTTCAGTTTCAGAAAATAATACAGAAATCTCATATTACTCTCAGAGGAAGAGCGTCAGCTGGAAATGGGGAGCCTGGGTCAGCATGTGAACACAAATGTGGCTGGTTGGATATTGCCAAGTGTGCTTCCAAAAGAGCTTCCAAGTGTGTGTTTCTACTGACAGTGCATACAAATACGTTTTTCTCTAGCCTCACCAAAAGAATGTGTTGTCTAGGTTTTTAATATTGGCTAATGAAACAGATTAGAAACAATGTATCAGGATTGTTTTAATTTGCATTTTTCTGAATCTAAATGCCTGTTTGTATATTGAGTCATTTTCATATCTCGGTGTGTGTGTGTGAATTCATATGTTTGTACATGACTGTTTTTCAGCCTATAAAATTCTTTGTGAGTTAGGGGTCTTATCTTTTTGTGGCCTATACTGCTTCAAATACCATTTTCCTTTTTTTTTTTTTTTTTCATTTTTCAGATGGAATAGTTTTTGTTTTGGTTATTGCTTTTTAAAAAAATTCTACTTTGATTTCAAAATTTCTGTGCTCTTTTACTTGCCTATTCTACTCTGTCAGTTCCTTTTTTTTTTTTTTTTTTTAAACATTGCTATTGTTTAACACTATTTTAGTTCAAATATATCATATGATTAGGTCAGGCTTGGTAGTCAATTGAATGTACTTTTTTTTCTTTTAAGTAGTGAATTAAGCCCATTCACATTTATTAATTTGCCTAATATGTTTGATCTCAACTTTTTCATAATATTTTGTGGTTATATGTTGTATTTTTTATGAGATAGAATTGTTTTACTTGTGTATCAAATTTTTGTTGTTATTTAGAAAGTTTAGTTATACTATGGTTTTAATGACTGCTTATATATTTATGCCTTTAAAATAGACTTATCCCACTGTTTTCTAATGTAACTTGTCACTATGTAGAGTTTGTCTTAAAGATATTCTTTATCTATTTCCTGGTAATCAATGAGTGTACTTTATTTTCTGATTTTTAGTTGCATACTTTCTATTTTGTCGAGCACATAACAATTGTTTATTAGGCTCTCAGCTTTATTTTAGTCAAATATACAGGGGTTTTTTTGGTTACTGTTCTCTTCATTTTGTGTGTGTGTGTGTGTGTGTGTGTGTGTGTGTGTGTGTTCTGAAATTTTGCCACCTACTTGTAGCTTGGACAAAAATCTTGCTTTTGAAAATTTTGCCGCAAGAGCTCATTAATGTGACATTCTGTTTTTGTGTATTTAAAGCTTTTTCTGTAGACTGAGCACTTACAGGATAGCTCTGATGGGTAGACATTCGTGATCCACACTTCTCTAAATGGAGTTGTTTTAAAGTCTGCTGTATTGTGTTTGTTTTGTAAGTTGATTTTGAAGAATCTTAGGCCAGTCTGATTGTTTTGTCCTTATAAGTTGTTTGCTTTTTTTGCCAGAGGCCCTGAGATGGTTTTTTTTCTGTCATCTTCGAAGTTTAATAGTTTTACTAGAATGTATCTTGTATCTGATCCTTTGAGGTTCTTCTTCTCATGTACCCATTTTATGTGGTGACCATTAGTTCCGCCACTTTCTTCTTTTTTGGCTACTCCAATTATAAAAATAAAAATGTTATTTCTTCTTTGCTTATCTTCCATTGCTGCCACTTTCTCTCCCTCTTCTCCTTCCCTGCTTCCTTTCATTTTATTCTTCATTCTCATCCTCTTTCTTCTATTTCATTGTTCTTATTTTTTTTTTCTTGTTTTTCTTTAAATGCCCATTATTAAATTTTCCTTGGTCTCTTGCATACTTTGTAATTTAAATTTTGAAATTTTATTTCTTTTTTTCTTAGTTCAATCAATTCACTTTTTGTTGCTTTTTCATGCATATTTTTTCTAAATTTTTGTGTTCATAACTTAAATTGTATCTCTACATGCTTACTTGAACATATTTAATTTACAAATATCTTAAACTTTTTTGTTTGCTTTTTTAGTATTTTGTTTGTTTGTTTGGTGGAGGAGTGGGTAAATTTTCATCAGTTGAACCATTTTGCTGTCAAATTCTCTCTTTTTTTTTCCTGGTACCTGGGATTGAATTTGTGACCTCCAGCCTGCCAGGCAGGCACTTGTGCCACTGAGCTAAACCCCCAGGCCCAAAGAGTAGGATCTGCAGGCTTTGCTGCTAAATTCTTTTTTTTTTGAGTAGTGCCATTTTGAATTGACTTTCTGAGTTTGAGTAATCATCTGTACTTTTACTGAGTTTTCTTCTGTTTAACTTTTGTTGATTTTAGGTTGCACCCAATTTTGTACTTTTTGGGTGCTTCCTTTTGTTAGTGTAATAAAGCATAGATCTTGAGGGGTTTGTGTGTGTGTAGGGATGTTGGGGATATTTTTATAAGTCTGCTAATGCTTTTGTAAGTGTGTTTTATCTTGTATAATCCTGGGTATTTTTACGCACCCAGCTGCAAAGGTTATCTTTTACTATTTTTCACCCCTGCAGTCTTTTGTACTGAGTCGTGCCTGTTAAGGTTGTCACTTTGTTTTGCTTTGTTTTGGTATAGGGATCAAACTCATGACCTCATGCTTACCAGGCCAGTGCTTGAGTCACTGAACTACATTCTGGCCCAGGGTTGTCACTTTGAACTGGGCATATTCTTAACATTCTTTTTCTTAGTCCCTGTGCTGATCTAATGGGATCCAGTTTTATACTGTTTACATTCAGGGTAAAGGGTAAAAGGTTTTGGTGGTGATCTTAGATCAATTTTAGCATCTCCCTCACCTATCTCTTGCCTCTTTACTTAACATTTTCTCAGCTGGCCCCATTACCTGAAACTTAAGAGCATACAGCTCTCTCCCTGGAATGTCGTCTTTCTGTCTCCTTTTTTACATACAGTCACAAATTCTTTTGGTAAAATGTGTTGAACTGACCTTGGCAGCTGTCATTGCTTTCAGCTCACATAAACATTATCTGAGGCCTAGGACAGTAGGGTGTTTTTCTGGAGAAACACGTTTGATTTTGCCGGGTATTTCGAGGTACTGCCTGGGTTTGCCTGTGTCCACTTTCACAGCCCGAGGCTCTCTGAGTTGCCTGGGAGGTGTCCCACTACAGGGCTACCATGGGTGGATCTGTGTTCATGTCTCACCCTTGCCATGAAAAGGACCCTTTAGGACTGTTTCAGGACACTCCCAGTTGGCCACTTCCCCTTTTGCCTCACTCATTGCTGTGACGAGTTGTCATAAGCAATTTGCAGATTTCATTTGATGTGTTGATGAGGCTGATACTACCAGTGGCTTTGTGCCCAGCATCTTTCTGGTTTCATGCTCCCTTGTAGAGTTTTGTTTAGTAATTCATTTCTATTCTGTTACTTCTTTAATACTTTTAACAATTTAAAGTAGTTCTTAGTTGTATTTATCAGGGAGTTTGTCCAGCCCAACACTACTAGAAATGGCAGCTGGTTCATTCTTTTATTAAAGAATTTATTTGTTTTTGATTTAATGGAACTTCAGATAGGAAGAATGGTAGATTCATCTGCTTAGGTTGCCTTGGAGTCTGCTGGCGGGTGACTTGACTCAGCCTCTCAGCAGCTGATGGGGAGGCCTCGCCTCATCGGTAAAGCGGCTCATGACTTAGAACAGCTCTGGTTTATAATGATGATGATAATAATGAGGAAAATTTCTTTACCACTTTATTGTGCCAATTGCACTATATTTTCCATATATTATTTTATCATAAAAACATATCCTTCCATTTTATACTTCATTACCTGAGGCTTAGCTACCATGTCACTTGCTAGCTTTTTATGGGTAATAAATGCCAGAAATAGTGTCAAACCCACTCCGGGCTTTGCAAATAGCAAGCTAGCAAATTCTAGCGCACTTTATGTCTTTGTGGACTTTATGCTATTTGCTTCCTAGACCTACTTCCCTGCCTAGACTCACATGATACCAGAAGGACACTGGGAATGGACAGATTTCATGTGAGATGTGGAAGCTTGACTCACTAGTAATTCCACTAGAACTGAGAATTGTTTCTCTTGTTAGGAAATAATTATGAGTTCATGCAAATGTAGAACAGAGATCAGTAAAGATCAGAAAGGTGCCTTAATTTCTTAGAGACCCTCCACAAGGTGGCAGACAGCTTTGCTTTGTTGGTGTTGTCAGTGTTAATTTCACTGTTTGTTGACTGTAAGACATTATGCTTATTCCCACACATCTTAGGGTAAATTCTGGCAAAATTTCTGTGTTGTTAAACAGAGGCTGTCCCGGGACTGGTTTGTGTGTTTATGTTTTGCTCTTGATTTACAGTTATTTGCTGGTGTGAAGGATGGAGAAAGCTTGCAACTCTTTGAACACGGTTCTCGCTCTGCACATAAGCAAGAGACACACAGCATGGAGGCCATGAAGCTTGTAGAGTTTGACCTGAAGCAAACACTTTCCAGACTGGTGGCTCATCTTTTTGGAGATGGTATGTACTCAGATACCTTTCTCTGGAGTTTTAAATGTCTAGCATTTATCATTTTCTAAGCCATAGAGATTAGTTTATATAGACTATTTTCATCTAAGGTAGCGTAATGATTCAGTTCTTTGTGGAACAGAGAGCCTCTAGATTACTTGATTCATTCTATTTGAGGAATTAGCTATAGAAAGAAAAATGATAATAATCTTGATAAGAATGATAATGATTACTATTGTTAGTAGTGAAAGAGTATATTTAGGCTGATTGATGTTATTATGTTATATTATCATTAGATTGCATTAGCTGATGGGGTAGTTTCTTAGCCATCTGAATGGGCCCCATAGACTCTTACATATGATTTGCTTGTTACTACTATTGACAGGAAAAATATTATCAGTTAATGTTCTGTAGGAAGAATAATATTGTTAAGATCTAGATTCTCACTTTAGTTTTTGTTTTTCATTATTCCTCCATGAAAATTGTCCCCTTCCACTTCAACTATTTCTAACTTAACTTATTTTAGGAAGCTATGAAGATAAGCTTAGGGGATTTTCTGAATTGTGACCTACACTTAAGAAATGCCCAGTGACTGGAAGTGTAGAGCACTTGTCTAGTGTGTGTAAGACCCTGAGTTCCAGTGCCAAGGGAAGAAAAGAGGAAAGGAAGGAGGGAAGGAGAGGAAGAAGGAAGAGAAGAAGAAAAAAGAAGAAAAGAAGAAAGGACGGGGGAGAAATACCTAGAAAATAGAAGCATAGCATGGCTAGGATTCTGTTTGAGTCTCTTATGAGATTAAAAAACCAGCTTAATTGAGGTATAACTGACATTAAATAAACTATTCATATTTGAGGTATACAATCCGATAAATTGATGTATAATAAGCTTATATTTTGGTAGTCCTCTGTGTTTGCCTTAACATACACACCTTTGCAACCAACCTAAGAATCAAGATACTGTGTACATCCATTATATCCAAAGGCTTCTTCCTGCCTTACTATGTCTCACTTAGGCAGCCAGTTACCTCCTTGTGGAATCTTCTCATAACACTCTTTTGCTTGTGCAGTGTTTCTTAGTGTAATTATTGTGAGAGTCGTCCATGCCATGCATTATTAGCAGCTCTTTCTTCTTCCTGCTAAGCAGTGTCCCATCCCACAGCCTGTCCCCTCACCCACTGGCTGACATCTAGGTTGCTTTCAGGTTTTTTGCTGTTACAAGTAAAGCTCCTATGAACATTTGCGTCTGAACCTTTTTGGAGACATATACTTTTACTTCTCTTGGGTAAATCCCTAGGGTGAGATGACTAAGTCATTTGCTAAGAAATTAGTAAACTTTCCTACAGTTGTTGTACCATTTTGTGTTCTTGCCAGTAGTGTGTGAAAATTCCAGTTGCTCTCCATTTCAGCCCCACTTTGTGTGATCAGTCATTGTGATTTCGCCATTCTGAACGGAGTATGGTGGCCTGTGAACAAAGCATTCAGCCGTTATTAAAAACTCTTCCTAATAAGCAAGCTGAAAGCAACCTAGAGAGAAATGATCCAACATGGTAACACACGATGCATCTAGACTGATAACTAAAGATATGAAAAGATGCTTATTTTTAATAATGAGGAAAGAGCTGAGAAGAACCACTGGAGAGTATCTTTTGTCATTCTTCATATGAGAAATCATTTTTAAGCCTAACATTTATAAGCACTGGCACATAAATAAATAACATGCAATACAAAGTTTGGCCTTAGCTAGGAGCTACTATCTAGGACTTAGCTGTGCCCTATCTAGGACTTTGCTCTTCATAGCTCTCGAGTCATCTCTAATTTTCATATCTCCAGATTTCCCCTATTTATATATGTAACCAAATGTGCATTGAAAAGGATTGTTGTGGTTTGTTAAAACCCCTGTTGCTTTGTTTTGGCAAGATATTTTAGAATGTCTTTGCTGCCACAATGTGATGGCACCGTTCATGTGATATTTGAGAAGCCATTGCATAACCCACTATAATCTTCATATATGCACATGTTTAAAAAGAGCATACAGCTTCAGGTAATGCTTTTCTTAAATAAGATGGGAAATAATATTAGGGTAAGGCTAGATTCTAGGCTGTATTTTTGTACTATTTTATTTTTTATAAAAGATATAAAGTTGAGTATGACAAAATGTTATGAATTGATTGAATTATGGGTTTATGAATGGTTATTATTTTCTAATTCTGTGTCTAGATTTATAATATTTCATGTTAAAATATTATAATGTGATAATGAAGCAAGCTTCAGGTAGAGATTGCTGATGTGAAAATCCTATCAAAGCCAGCCTCTCTTTATTTTCATAATGAAAGAATGTAATTGTGATATTTTTAACAGTAATATAATCTTTTTTTTTTTGGTACTGGGGATAGAACTCATGACCTCATGCTTGCTGGCGGCCGCTTGTGCCGCTGAGCTAAATCCCTGGCCCAATAGTAATATAATCCGTTTCATGCTGAAATGTAGGAAGATGGACTGCATTGTTCAGGTCACTTTACAGCAGAGTAGGATAGAAGGAAGCCCAGTATTTTAAGGAGAAATTATTTTGCTTGAAGTAGCTCTATAGAAAACTTCAGATGAGCCTAGACTTGTCCAACGATGGGGAGAATATTCTCAAAGCCATCCTTAATTACATCTTTTTGCACATTTCTGTAATCAAATGACTTGCTATTTGTGTGATTTAGAAACTGCATTTCTACAGGAATGCAGGCATCATGCTATGGAATAAGCTGGACATAATCACTGTCTTCAAGGAGCCAGGGAGAGCCCAGGAGGGGCGGCTGCTCCAGGCCTGGGCATCTGCCCTGGAGGGGTCCTGGTACGGGACAGCCTAGTGGGCCCTGCAGGATAAGAGAGAATGAGCAGCAAAAGCCTGGGACCAGATAAGGGGAGGTGGGCAAGAAAGGAAGGGAAGATGACAAATAGGTGAGACCCAACAGCTAGTCCTGAAAACACGCGCTAGCACGGTGCCCAGCTTTGAGGTAGAAATAACAACAGACGAAGGACGCGAAAACAACTATGGCCAGTCTTGTGCCCACTGAGAAACAGTAGTGTGGAAAGTACCGTTCCGAAATCCTGATGGGTCACTTAGGGTTTTAGCCCGCAACTTCCAGCCAGTGCTTGTTTCTTGGGCGAATCAAGTGAAGTAGTATGGGAAAGGCGCCTTAGAAATTAAACATTTGCAGTGTGTGAATAGTGAAAATGGAAGAGGGGAGGGAAATTGAGGCAGTAAAAACAGAACCTACGAGAGGGAGAAATACAGTCCTGGAGGGACAGTTCTGCATGTGGTCTTTGTCCATCTCTTGGAAGGCCATGGCCCAGCAGTCATGCTGCCATGGGGTGGCCTCCACACCCACACCGATCACGAGCAAATACTTTAAACATAAAGTGCCGTGGTCAGCCCCGCATGGGCTGAGGGTACTCACGTCTCTGAACATCCTGTGGGCTTTCCTTTGCGTGTTATTTTTCAGGGCTGTGCAGCATTCAGAGCTAAGCACTGAGGTGAAAGTTTTTGGGTAGAAGATTCCTATTAAAAAAATGTGCATGGTACCTAATGCATGTGTGATGCCTGTCTTGACATGATGGGCATGTGTGTGGCTAGGAATTAAGAATCCTAGATTTTGACACAGTAATGAAGTTGTAGTTTCTTGTTTTCAGGCCTATATTCGTTTTATTGTTCCTAAAATGTTGTTGACCTAGACTTTTTAGTGTCAGATTTCTTTACAGATCAGTGTTGCTAAGTAAACCTAAAGTTTCGCTTTTTGTTAGAAACCTTTGGATTACCAGAACTGTGGATTAGCAGAACTGTGGAATGGAATGAAAGCAAAAGATCCCTGACCTGGAGGCTAATGCTGCTCACGTGCGGGAAAGTCTACCTGTGAAAAAAATCCTTGTATTTTTTCTTCCCTTGCAGCCATCCTCATTTCTAAATCCCGTCACACAGTCGCCAAATGCCCTGAAGCACATCACCCACGTGCCTTTGACTCACCCCATGTGCTAGTGCCAAGAGCTGTGGCTGGAAGAGGAGTGCGAGCCTGTCCCTAGCTGTGTTTGCCAGGCTTGTCACCTCTGCTGTGCTGCTTTCCACAGGACAGACACATTGAGCAGGGTGGGAGGTGGCCCAGATTCAGCCCCAGTCTGTGAGCTACGTGGGAGAGGGCATCTCTGTGTTACAGAAAGCAGGCGGTGCTGGGTGTTTGCTCAGCATTCATCCTGACCGGTAACAGCTCTTGGAGATCTTGGCTGCCTCTCCTGAGCTCTGGAGCAATGTGCCTTGCTCCTAAGTTAGGCATTTTGGCGGTTTGCTTGCCGTTTAATTGTGGTCTTGCTGTTGCTACTGGTTTTCCTTGCTTTCTTGTTCATTTGTTTAGTAAGCTTCTGAAAAATGTTTTGGTAAACTTAAGGAGGCCCCATCAGTCTGAGCATCATTGGGATCAATAACAACTTGCTGATGGTGGTGATGGTCCCTGTAGAGAGAATGGTTAGCGGTTTCAAACCCAGTGCAGAGCTACAAAGTTTTCTTTGGACCTACATCTGAGATGTAGGTATGGTGCTCTCCATTTTTCAGATGGGAAATGTGGCACAGAGAAGTTAAGTAGTGAAGACTCACAACTGAATTATCAGAGCCCAGGCTTAGCCTGTGCATGTGAGTTCTGAACTTGTGGTAGAGGTTTGCTTCTTTGAAAGGATATGAAAAAACCTGTTAATGAAATTTCTGAGTTTTGAGGCCTGTGAAAACCATGATGTTCAAACAAATGACAAACATCTGGCCTCTCTCCTGGTGCTACTTCTGGTGATCTCCTGTTCTTGGACTCCTAGAAGCCAGCTTCTGATAAATTCTCTTTTTCCTTCATCATATCTAGTTACAGTTAGGATATCAAAGATCACTTAAAATCTTCAGATTCATTCTTTGTATAATTAGTGAACAAATAGGTAGTGTCTCTTAGGCCTCAGGAATATCCAAGGACTCTTTCTATATTTGTTTTTGTAAGTGTA